CCTTGCTCTTTATCAAACATTCCAGGCCCACTCCTGCCTCAGGGCTCTTCCACCTGCCATTCTGCTGCCTGGGATGTGCTTTGCCCAGGTCCTGCTGTGACTGACTCCAAATTCACTCAGGCCTTTACTCAGTTATTCTCTCTAATGTGCTTTCCCATATCAACTGATAAAGAGACCAGGGCCACCACTTTTGATCCCTTTAGTATACTTTCCTGTGATCTTTGTCACAGCGTACGTCATTATGAAGTTCACATTACCCACCCATTGATCTTTCAGTTTTCTTCCTGTGCTAGTAGACTGTGGTCCATGAGGTCAGGGACTCTGTCTTGTAGGTTTGGAGAGCCCCTAACGCCTGTACACTTCGGGCCTCTTAGTGTATGGTTGGATAATGAGCGCTGTTGGCCTGGGGAAAGTCAAGTTTTTGTGCATGTGCAGAGAAGTAATTTACCCTGGGGAGTCAAGGAAGGCTTCCCTGAGATGACAATCTTTGAGTTGGGCTTTGAGGGCTGTGTAGGGGTTTGCCATGTGCAGGATTGGATGTTTTAGGTATAGAGAGAGAAGAGGATGGAATTTTCAGGAAAACAAATGGTAGAGCTGGCGAGGCTATAGGGTGGTGGGCAGGTCCTGGTTCAGGGGGAGCTGGCATCATGAAGCCGAGGGACAAAGACTTCTAAGGCGGTTGAGGAGCCAAGGAAGGGTTAGCAGGTAGAGCAATCCTATCTGACTGCGATCAAGGGAGGGGTCTAGGAACACAATTGGATGACGTTGAATCTGGACAGATGGAGAGAAGATTCATCTCTCTCTGAGAAGGAGAAATTGGGGAGGATTTTCAGGATGTGGAGGAAGTTGAGAGAAGTCACGAGTGGGGACAGGCAGTCGTGTGTTGGCTGTGTGGGTTCCCGGTCACCCTTCCAGGGAACTTTCACCAGCACCTCTTCCATCCAGGGCCAGGTTGGGCGTGTGTGGGGCTCATCCACTGGCACTGGGGAGCCGTGGGAGGAGTGTGAGCCAGAGGGGGCCCCCGGACAGCTCTGAGGCTTCCTGAGGCTGGAGGCTGAGGGCAGGAGAGGATGAGACCCAAGACTGGGGCAGTGGGGACAGAGAAGAGGGGATGGGCTGAGAGTCAGGGACCAAGTGGCTGTGGGATACGGGGGAGGCGGGGGACAGTGTGGGGCCTGACCCAGCGCTGGTGGGCAGTGTGGGACAGCTAACTGGCGCTGTGGGGGTGGCGCCAGTGCTGGGTGGGCGCCTACAGGGAGGGTTCGGGGTCCACCCACCTCCTCCTCACGCGGCTGGCCCTCCGCAGTACCAGAGGCACCTGTTCGTCCACATCAGCCAGCACTGCCCCAGCCCTGGCGCACCCCCCCTGGAGAGTGTGGATGTCCGGCAGATCTATGACAAATTTCCCGAGAAAAAGGGTGGTCTGCGGGAGCTGTATGATCGCGGGCCCCCCCACGCCTTTTTCCTGGTCAAGTTCTGGGTAAGTTCTGGTAGTGAAACCGAAAGTGCTCCTAAGCCAGGAGGCATCCCACCTAAGCCCCTGGCACTAAGGGTTTGGTCTCAGGATTTTGAGGGCAGCTGGGCCTTACTGTCAGTCCTCATGGCTCCGAGCCCCTTTTGCAAGAAGGGACACATAGGCTCTGGCCCCTGGGGTATCCAGGAGAGGCATTGGGTGTCCCCAGATCCCACTAGAGTTTACCACCCTAGTCGCATGACTAATATGGCCCTGGGATTGGCTTTCCCTGTTTTGGGCATCCACAGGCCTCACCTGACCACATCAAGTCTTGTTGTTAAGGAACAGTTTCCTCCTGCCTGTTTTTGCTGCTGGTGATTGAACCCAGGGCCTTTGCACTGAACTACATGCCCAGCCCTTTATTTATTTTTTATTTTTGTTTTTATTTTTATTTTTATTTTTGAGACAGGTTCTTGCTAAGTTGCCCTGGCTGGACTTGGACTTGTGATCCTCCTGCCTCAGCCTCCAAAGTGCTGGGAATGTAGGCATCTGCCACCAGGCCTGGCCCGGAAGAAGTGATTGAAAGAGCTGGCCTTGTAGAGACCTGTATTTAACATTCATTGAAAATTTACTGTCCACAGGCATGATGCCAGTTGCTGTTTGGCTGTTTGGTATCTTTGGTGGTCTTTTGTCTCTTATGCTGCCCACCTCTCGTGGGAGCTCAGTGAGAAGTTCTACATAAGTGGTCCTGGGAGTTACCTGGCCTTGCCCTGGGATCTTGAAGTTTACAGGCCCTGCTTATTTCCCCAGCCAGTTTTGCCACCCTGCCTCCTATATCACTGGGCTTACAGGCATGTGCCCCATGCCTGGCTTATTTTAGGTTTTCTTAGGTCTGTTTATTTTGGTGTCCAGAACAGTGATAGATGCTATAGGGACTCAACCAATGTTGAGTGTGTGTTTTGGGGTTTGAACTCCTGTAGTAACCAGCACAGGGCTTGAACTGCACTAGTCTTGCTGGGCATGATGGACGATGGCTGTAAAGCTTCCTGGCCTATGAAATGGTGGCCTGAGATGGCTCTGGGCATGTGCTGCCCAGGTCAGGGCTTAAGCCAGGACCCCCGGCTCTCAGGTCTGGATGCCACACCCTCAGGAGGCCCGGCTTCTGCGGGTTCAGGGGAGGCCTGGGGCTGTGTGGCTTCACAAGGCCCTATTGCCAGGATGGAGGATGCAGGCAGACCTCTGAGGAGTGTGACTGTAGTCAGGATGAGGGAGTGGCCCCTGAGCCCCGAGGAGGTGGCTCTGGTGCTATCTTAGGGTGTATTGACCACGCTTGGTCTAATGACTCTAGGCCAACTGTTTGTGCCCTGGGGCAGTGGAAGGGGTCTCAACTCTGAGCATCAAGTGAAAAGGCTAGAGAGTGTTCTGGCCTATTGCCTTAGCAAGCAGGGTGGTGAAGGGAGGTGACTGGGCCTTAGCTGGTTGCTAGGGGCAACTGCATCCTTAGTAACCAGGCCTTGGGAGGGGCTGAACTTAAATTGGGAGCTTCAAGGGGAAGAAGTTGATTTCTAGGTCCCCTGCTTACTAGGGACAGAGGGTCAGGATGTTTTTGAGGGCCCAGACCTCTCCATACTGATGGTGCGGGTGAGTCTTCTCCAAAGCCAGCTCCTGGAGAGGTGAGAACTGAGAAGGAGGTGGGCAGCTGCCAGAGCAGTGAGAGGAAGCAGGCTGGGGGCAGAGTGTCTAACCGTGTCCTCTCCGCCTATCCCGTGCCTCCCCATCTCCCAGGCCGACTTGAACTGGGGCCCGAGTGGTGAGGAGGCGGGCGCTGGCAGTGGCGGCAGCGGCAGCGGCGGCTTCTATGGAGTGAGCAGCCAGTACGAGAGCCTGGAGCACATGACCCTCACCTGCTCCTCCAAGGTCTGCTCCTTCGGCAAGCAGGTGGTGGAGAAGGTGGAGGTAAGGCTGGAGGCCAGGCTGGGTGCGCCGCAGGAAGCCATGATGGGGCAGGCGTTTGGGGTTGCCTGGTGGGAGGATCTTGGCCTTTCTGGGCATTGAATGCATGGGCCTGGAGCAATTATCGAGTTCAAAAGTCAGAAGGGGCCATTTTGAGAGTTGAAAGGTACAGAGATTAAACTGGGCATGGTGGTGCACGCCTATAATCCCAGCACTCGAGGCTGAAGCAGGAGAATCGCCACAAGTTCAAGGCCAGCGTGGGCCACATAGTGAGTTCAAGGCCAGCCTGAACTACATAGCAAGAGAGAGAGGTCTTGAGATTGAGTTACTAAGATTAAGAAGGCTCCTGTGGCTACAGAGGAGTTCACAGGGCAGAGAGGCTCTGAAGTTACCCTGAGGGGTTTCTGCGGACTTGGGTCTCAGGTACAGTTGTGGGATGGCAGGGAGGAGTGGTTAGAGGGTTGGAGGCCAGGTTGATTCAAAGGTCATTGAGGATTTACAGCGTCACTCTGAGGGTTCACAGGGTGGACCTGGTTCCTGGGGTGACTCATGTATCTGAGCCTCTGCTCCCCCACTCCGTCCCTGGTTCAGACCGAGCGGGCCCAGTTGGAGGATGGGCGGTTCGTGTACCGCCTGCTGCGCTCCCCCATGTGCGAGTACCTGGTGAACTTCCTGCACAAGCTGCGGCAGCTGCCCGAGCGCTACATGATGAACAGTGTCCTGGAGAACTTTACCATCCTGCAGGTGACCGCGGGCCAGGGGCCCTCAGCCGGGAAACAGGCCCTGGGGACTCACGGGTGCCCCTTAGCATAGGTGCCCTCGGATGTGGTGGGCACCTCTCTTGGGAGGTGGCAAAGAGGCCTACTGGGGTCCCCTGGTCACCCGGTGAGGGCATCAGTCCAAACCTAAGCGTTCTCCCGCCTCCTGGCAGGTGGTGACGAATAGAGACACCCAGGAACTGCTGCTGTGCACCGCCTACGTCTTCGAGGTCTCCACCAGTGAACGTGGGGCCCAGCACCATATCTACCGCCTGGTCAGGGACTGAAGGGGGCCCCACAACGGGCCTGCCCCGGAACACCCTCCTCACAGGAAGGACCCCGCAGCTCTCCCTGCTTCTCCTTTGGGGAGGGGGCTGTGATGGAAAGGGGCTGACCTCAGAGGCCTGAGCAACGGGGACTGTCCCCCAGCAGAAAGGGACCTCAGCAGCACATCAGGGATTGGGGACAGGAGTGAACAACACCCAGGTCCCTCCACTCTTCTGGATGTTTTTTTGGGGGCCCTAATTACACATTGACTTGTCCCATTTCCTGCCCCCCCATATTGCCTCTTCCTACCACTCCTCTTTGTGATCTGTGACATCACAAATTGAAAAGTAACCCTTTCTGTGCAGGAGCAGAGCCAGGTAGGCCCTGGAAATATTTTTTTTAATATAACGAGATATTTATATGTGGGTGTTAGGGTTGTGACTCTATCCCAGTGGGGTAAGGCTCTGGCGTCCCACCCTCCTTTCTTATATGTGAGCCCCAGACTGGACTGCTGCCTCCTTTTCCCTCCCGAAGTGTGTTGGTTTGTGTTCTGACAGAGGATAAAGTTATTTTACCAAAACAGGGGATTTATTTGAGGTTTGAGCCAAAAATAATCTTGTGGGAGGTGGTTGGCCATCAGATATGTTTGGGGCAGGAAGCCCCAAGTTCCTTGGGGAGATGGTGGCGCCTGGGCAGGCAGACACCTGGGGCCCCAGGGGAATGAGGGGGTCACTCAAAGCCCAGGCAAACTAGGATGAAACAACTATTTACAGTCCCCAGGGAGCGGGTAGAGTCGGGCTCAGCGGTATCGAGCGAGTCGGTCATAGACGTAGTCCAAGTTTCTGCACATGAATATCGAGAGCGTCATGAAGCCAAGCTACAGAGAAAGGAGATGGCTATCAGGTGGTGAAGGAGTGCTGGGGGGAGGGGGTGATGGGTCCCCAAGGGAGAAAGGTCAGGGGACAAAAGTCAGGGGACGGGGTCCAGGCCGTGAAAAGAGGGCTCTTATAGAAGTGGGTAGGAACCAGGAGTGGTGGCGCAGGCCTGTAATCCTAGCGCTCTGGGAGGCTGAGGTAGGACAATCCCAAGTTCAAACTCAGCCTTGGCATTTTATCTACTTCATGAGACCCTGTCTCAAAAAGTAAAAAAAAATGGGCTAGGCATGCAAGTCAGTGCGAAGGCCCTGGGTTCAGTCTCTAGTACTGGAAAAAAGAAAAACAAGGCGGGCTAGAGGGAGAACTGGGAGAAGTAAGGGAGCCAGGGAAGGCAGGCTGAGTGACAGAGCAGAGATGGGGACCCCCTTGGCAGTTGATGGGGACGCGGGGCTTGTTGAGGGTAAGGAGAGGACGGAAGCAAGCCCAGGGGCCTTTATTCTGGGGCTTCGTCTGTCTCCGCCTCCGCGCTCCCGGTCTCGGCCTTGGACTCTTGGTCCGGTGGCACCCTGTCTCCCCATGTGGGGCAGATTCCCGCCGAGCCTCGGCTGCCCCACGCGGCTGCGCCACAGTGCTCGGCCCCGCAGTCAACACTGAGGCCCGGCGCAGCGCCCGGTACTTGTGGCGCGGGTTCCCTGCGGAGCGCTGGGCGGTGCAGCTGCAAGCTCAGGACCATCAGACTCACCTGCGAGGAAAGCGAGGCGGGATATTGCCGCCAATCAAAGGCGAGTCTCCCTGCGTATAACCAATCAGCTCACAGAGGCTGGGCCCCCGCCCCTCCAGTCCCCAGTGCCGCAGTCAGAGCGCCAAGCGGGGTGTGGGGGGGTGACTGCGCCAGCACGCATGCGTCCTCCCGGGGGATAAGGGCGGGGCCATCTACCGACTATGACCAATCGCGGGGGGGGGGCGGGGCCAAGTCACCTCGAGTAGACCGATGCCCAGACAAATGCCAACTATGGAGATGAGGTTGTTGTGCAGCCACTTCTGGAGGCTCTTCGCGCAGCCCTGAGGGTGTAGGGGAAAGTTAAAGGTGGCGTTCCTTCCGGGATTTGTCCTTAAGCCTAGGCTCAGCGTTCTTCTCTGCCTCGCCCTTTCTTTCAAGCACTGACCGTCTCTTCCAGTTATCGGGATTCTTTAGTCTCAGTTGGGCATCTGTCTCACCTCTTCCAAGCTTTGCCCCTCTAGACGTCAGTGTTCCCGAGCTCCCTTTTCCTACCGACCCCGCCCCCTTGGAATTCTCTTTCTCCTTGGACGGATCTTTATTGTAGCCCCGCCTCCATGTGGCCACGCCCACCTCCCTGGGCACCGGCTCAGGAGGCCACACCCCTGGCAAGGCGGCCTCCCATTGGAGCAGCTCCTGCCCTAAACACTTAGCTACCTCGCTGTAGATGTGGCTATTAGCAGGCACAGAGCAGAGGTCTGTGCCGTGCCTGGGCCGCTCCCGCGACCCGAGCTGGCCCGACTGGGGGAAGTAGATCTTTTCAAAGATTGTGGAGTCGTTGGTCGCTGACGAGTTGTAGCAGGAGCAGGGCACGCGGTCCGCCTCCGACTCGTTACCTCTCAGGATGAGGACCTGGAGCCAGTCCTGCGGAGAGTGCCAGCCGCAGCAGCGCAGCTGAGGGGGGGATGCGAGCGAGAGATCAGGGCACGCGGTGATGCAAAATGCTGTTGGGGATCAGGGGACCCGGTGATGGGTTTAAGGTCAGGCCGAGGAGCAGGGGCGGAGTCCTGAGGCTGGGGTGCTGCGCCACCCTGGGGCCACTTACGTTATCATCTGGGTTTGGGGCGAGTGAGTAGGGTATGGTAGGGACCTGGAGCTGGAGGATCGGGCCACATCCAGGCAGAGGCTCTTTGAAGCCTAAACCGAGCAAAGCCACGTCGAAGTCCCGGAGGAAGAGGAGGCGCGATGGGGCCACGCACCTGGAACTGGGTGTAGTCCCAGCTCTCCTCGGCCGCTGTCTCCTCCGGGTCGGAGCCGTAGTTTTGGATGGTGGTCAGTACGAGCTCCTTCACCCTTCGCTCCAGCTGAGAGGCAGTGAGTGGGTGAGGCTGCGATCGGGAGACTGCGCCCCATCTGCCCCGTCTCTCCAGCCACTCCCAGAGCGTTCAGCCCTCGAGGGGTCCCCGGGGCGCAAGCTTGTGCTAGCTTCCAACGGCTAGTTTATCTCTTCCTTAGACCTCAGTCCTATTGCTAGAGGTCATTAGATCTCTATTGCTTCTCAAAGGGCCTCCACCCCTCCCTCTTTTTCTCTCTGTTGCCCAGACTAGGCTTGACCCCCTGGACTCAGCGATACTCTCCACTCAGCCTCCCTAGTAGCTGCGACTGTAGTTACCACCACTCGCGGCTTTCCTTTGGGATCTCCCTCTGTCCTCGTGTCTCTCTGATTCCTATCGGCCTTGTTTCCCTCGCTCCCCGCCTCCCCGCCAACTCCCGCCTACCTCCCCAACCCCCGCCCACACCCCTCAGCTGCCCGGACTGGGTAGTGGCGGCAGTAAGCTCACCCGGACCCGCTGAGTGGAAATGAGGATGCCCAGGGTGATCTGCGTGGCAAACAGGAGCAGCAGGATCCCGAAATACTGGGGCAGAGGGGAGAGGTCAGGCTGATCCCTCCCCAGGCCATGCTTCAGGGTGGGGAGGGACAGGAGCTAACCCAGGGATGGGAGCAGGGCACTCACCAGACCTAATAGGCTGCGAAGTTCTTTGAGGGCCCCCACACAACCCAGGAGAGCGAGGCCCATGGTGAGAACCCCCGAGATGGCCAGGATCTTGGACCAGGTCTGCAGGGGTACGAAGGACAAGCCTAGGGGTGGAGGTGAGAGGCCTTGAGGCTGAGCCTGGTGGGCAGAGCTCCAAGCAGCCCCAGGCAGCCCCCAAGTGGGCACAGCATCTCAGGCTAGGTGGAGGGTTCTGGCTAGACTCCCACTGTCCCAGGGACTCTGTCCCTATCCCATCCCAAGTCTCTGTTTCTCTCCTACTGAGAATTCTCCTGTCTCTGAACCCCTGTTTGGCCTCTCTCTGGATCTCTGCACCTGTCTTTCCTTCAGCCCCTCCTCAACCCCATCACGTGTTCTGTGACATTAGCTCTGTCACTTAAACCTCCCTGAAGCCGGGCATGGTGGCGCAAGCCTGTAAGCCCAGCACTCGGGAGGCTGAGGCAGGAGGATCATTGCGAGTTTGAGACCAGCCTGGGCTGCAAAGTGAGCTCAAGGCCAGCCTGAACTGAGCCAGACCCTGTCTCAAAAAGACCAAAAAAAGAGCCAGGGATTTAGCTCGGTGGTATAAGCGCCTGCCTGGCAGACACAAGGTCCTGAGTTTGATTCTTGGTACCAAAAAAAAAAAAAACCGAAAAACAAAAAACACCCCAACCTCCCTGAAGCCAAGAAAATAGTGTTATCCATTCCCTAGTTCTTTTTTTGTTTGTTTGTTTTCTGAAATGGAATCTCACTATGTTGCCCAGGTTGGCTGGCCTCAAACCCCTGGCCCCAAGTGATCCTCCTCCTCAGGCTGCAGAGTAACAGAAGCTATGGATTTGTACCGCTGAGCCTGGGCTTATGTTTTTTTTTTTTTTGTCTTTTTGAGACAGGGTCTCACTATGCAGTTCAAGCTGGCCTTGAGCTCACTTTGTTGCCCAGGCTGGTCTTGAACTCACAACAATCCTCCTGCCTCAGCCTCCCAAGTGCTGGGATTACAGGCGTGCACCACCACGCCCAGGGGCTTATGTTTTCTTTGAGGGATACGTAAGAGCATGTGTTCACCCCAGCCTTTGTTGCAAAGCAAATACTTACTACTTACCAGCTACTAGGACTTTGATAATTAGTCCATTATTATTTTCCTTATTGTTCTCAATACTATTTCTGTTTCTCTCCTTCCTTGCTGACACCCGGTAAGGGATTTCCCCTCCCTGAACCTCAAGAGAGGGGAGGGTTTGTGGGAGAGTCTGATGAGCACCAGCCCAAAGCTGACAGGAAGTACTTGAGAAGTGGCTATCCTTGTCACTGTCCCTATTATTATTGTTGGTAGGCACAACTCTATTTGCTAGAGGAAGACCATGGGCTCCGAGAGGCCCAGCCCTAGTTGGGAGTGGTTGGTGGGAGCCGGAGACCTGCCTGGGGAATTGGGCTGTGTGGGTCTCCCCAGGACAAGGGAGACCCTAGCAGGTTGCATGGGGAGAGGCTAGTCCCAGATCTGCCCCAGAAAAGTCCTCCCCAACTATCTTAGTCCCTCTCACCCACAAAGGACACGAAGCTGGTCTTGTCGATGAGGATCCAGATGCCGAAGCAGAAAATGAGACTGCCGAGGGCCTGGGGGAGGGGATGACAATGTGGTGGCGGGCTAGGGAGGCAGAGGTATGAGGTCTGGGGGCTGCGGCGGGGCCTGGGGCCGGGGCTAGGGAACCATGGGGCAACTCACAAAGAAGAAGAGGTTGAACACGAAGAGGAAGTACTTGATGAGGCTGAGGCAGCTCTCCTGGGCCGACATCTTGGCCTAGATGGGGGAAAGACAGTTGGAGAGACCCACAGAAGGGCTGTTGGCAGTGGTGGTGATGGACAGGAGGACAGAGGCTGGGGAGGAGAGAGAAAGAGGCCGAGAGGAGGCAGAAAGGAAGAACACAGAGAAAGAGGAAGTTCCAGGGGTGGGGCTCCACCCTCTTCGTGAGAAGTGACACTCTTCTCTGTCTGTCCCTGACTCCCTCACCTGCCTGGAGGGGACACACGCTGGTCCCTGAGGGGCCCTGGAACGGGTGGGCACCAAGGACACAGCAGGTGGGCCTTCGCAGGTCTCCATGGCTCGGGACCCTCAGGGATTCCTGACTGACTTGCAGCTACCCCTGGGCCCCAGGACCTCAGGGCTGTCCCCGGCCTGCAGCCGACCTCACAGACACTCTGACCTCATGACTGCTAAGCTCTGCTCTCTGTGTCTCCAGTTCTGTCCCCTTTTTTCTTCTTTTGCCCCTCTATGGCTCTGTCCTCTCTTTCCAGTTTTCTGTCCCTCTCTCTCTGGGTCCCTGTCCTCCTCTGCATCTCTGCCTGTCTCTGTTCTTCCTCTCTCCGTCTTTCTGCTTCTCTCTGAGGCCCTGTCCCTTCTCTCCCCCTCCCCCTCATCTTGGTCCCTCTCAGGGGAGACTGCATCCTGTTCTAGACCTGTTGCTCCCCTGTGCTGGGGGCAGGGGGCGGGCACCTGGGGAAGTGAAAGTGCTGCAGGCGGAGGCGGGCGGGTCCCTGGAGTGACAAGGGTGGCCAGGCTGTGCCAACAGCGAGCGGAAGCTGAGCCTCAGGCATGACTTCCTGCCTCAGCCAGAGGCCTGAGGAGAAGGCCCCAGAGGAACCAGAGGCTTGGGGGTCTCATTGCCACAATGCACCCAGCAGCCTTTGCAGTCTTCCCAGAGTGTGCCCTTCTTGTCAGGCCCCAACCCCTCACAGATTTCCGGCGCTGGGGGCTCCCCAGCACATAGCCATCCTCTCAGACCCTGGGAAACCAGCCTCTGAAGACGCAGCTGATTGTGTTCACCACATTCTACACTGAGCTTAGGGCCTCCTCCAGATTCTCCCCGTCGCCTGATTTCCACATCCAAGGCCGCCCCACCCTCCACTCCGGGCTGCCCTGACCCTGCTCCTCCTCTGCCGCATCCCCTCCAGTCCCAGAGTTAGGCCGCTCCTGTTTTTCACTCCAGCCCTCCTCTGCGGCTCCTAGTGGAGGCTGACTCAGGACTCCTGCTTTCCCACCTGGACCCAGGCACCTCCTGGCCTGTCTTCTCTCCTCTCCCCGACCCGCAGCCCTGGACCCGCGCACACAGCACCACGTGAAGAAGGGGCAGAGACTGGAGCGGGGCAGCCGGAAGCCAATGCTCCAGAGTCAAAGAACTGATTCTTGGCTAGAGCCTCAGGAAGGACTGTGGCCTTGATGCCTTTTGATTTGGGATGTTCAGTCTAACAAACTGAGAGAATTAATTTCTGTTACTTTAAGCTACCAAAATTGCGTTAACTTGTTGTTATGGCCATAGGAAACAAATACATTGATATCTTCTATCCTACCCCTGGTCCCTCTGTTAGAAATACGTAATTGGAGGTCCAAGGGGAGGTGGCTTTTTTCCTAGGCACATAGGACTACATTTCCCAGGACTCCTTGCAGTGAGTTTGAGGCCTCATAATTAGTATCCTGGGCCCCTTCTGGACTTGCCCCTAAAATGCCCTCTGTAAACTTTACTTTCTGTCTCTCTTTAGTCGTTTGGCTTTTGGAGGTCCTGAAATTCCTCAGTGATGGAAGGCTCAGGAGACAAAAGGAATTTAGGTCCCTGGTTTCTCCTGGACTTAGATAAAATAGTTTGGACTTTATTGTGGTGCCGGGATTCAAACCCAGGGACTTGCAAATGCTACGTATCGACCACCAATATAAAATGTAATATAAGCAATTTTACATTCTCCTTTTGGTACCATGTACTGGGTTGCTTGGGGACACCTAACCCCTGGAAGCTGTGACTATGACTTTATGTGGAGAAAGGATCTTTGCGGATGTCACTGCATCAGACTTCAAGATGAGGTCCGCCTGGATTACCTGAGTGGGCCCTCAGTGCAGTGAAGTGTTCTATAAGGGTTGCACAGAGACGTGACAGTCCCGGAGGACAAGGCCACATGAAGGTAGACGCTGGGATTGGAGCAATGCAGGTACAAGTGAAGAGATGCCCGGGGTCACCAGGCGTGGGAGGACCCTCTGAGAGCCTTTGAAGGAGGTGACCCTGAGGACGCTTTGATTCCAGCCCTCTGGCCTCCGGAATTGTGAGAGAACGCAGCTGAGTTGTTTTAAGCCGCTAAGTGTGTGGTAATTTGTACAGCAGTCCTAGGAAATAAGGAGACCAACTGTGTCAGGGATCCCACTGTGGCCTGGTGGTCTACATCAGAACCAGCCCTCCCTGTGACTGCTGAAGGCCCTGCCCCTCCCTCTGAGCTGTCCTTTCAACTTTCTTTCTTCCTCACTGACTGCTGCTTCTCAATCTCCATTGTATCCTCCTCTTTTTATTTTTGTTGTTTTGGTTTTTTGAGACAGGGTCTTGCTATGTAGCCCAGGCTAGCCTCAAACGTGTGGCGATCCTCCTGCCTCAGCCTCCTGAGTGCTGGGATTACAGGCAAGCACCATCAGCCCTGGCTAGGCCTTCTTGAGTCCTGTCTTTCTCTAACTCCCCATATCCAATTGCCATTAGTTCGCTAACACTTTGACAAATGACCTCAAGCTTAACAATTTAAGACAGTAAACATTTATCGCGTATACATTTCCGTGGGTCTGGCATTAGGGAGCAGGGAACCGGATGGTTCCTGCTCAGTGCTGTGTGAGCGTGCAATCAGGCACTGGGTAGGGCTGTGGTGTCTGAAGTTCGTCCTACTGTCCATCCATCTACCCCACCTATCTGTCTGTCTGTCTTTGTGCTACTGGGGACTGAACTCAGGGCCTTTGCACTGAACTACATTCCCACACGTTAACTTTTTTTTTTTTTTTCATTTGAGACCGTCTCATTAAGTCACTAAATTGCCCAAGCTAAGTTTGAACTTGCCATCCTCCTGCTTCAGCCTCCCAGAGTACTAGGATTATAAGCGTGCGCTCCCACGGGCAGCCTCCTCCAGGAACTCCTGGGACAGTCTCACGGATTTGTTATTTCCACTCTTAGCCCGTGCATCCTGTTCTCTGCCCCTAAACCACAGGTTCCCCCTGTCCTCACCCGAGTCACTCCTTGAGTCAGAAGCCTCTAATGGGTTCTCATCTCTCTCAGAAAAAACCCCAAATTTCTGCTATGACTACAACACCCTCTCCACATATTCATCTCCTGACACTTCTCTGACCCATTTGTGACCACCTTTTCCCAGTCCCTGGGATCCCACCGTAGCAGACTGCGTTCTTGTTTTTTTTTGGTTTTTCTCCGGTACCAGGAACCGAACTCACGACCTTGCGCTTGCCAGGCAGGCGCTTTTGCCGCTGAGCTAAATCCCCAGCCCCCAAACTGCGTTCTTTCAGAAACCTCTCAGGTATCTTTCTGCCTCTAAGCCTTTGCTCTTGCCACTCCCTTGGCCTGAAATGTTCTCTTCTTTTCTCTTCTTTCTTTTCTTTTCTTCTTTTTTTTTTTTTTGTCTTTTTGAGACACGATCTCGCTATGCAGTTCAGGCTGGACTTGAGGTCACTTTGTAGCCCAGGCTGGCCTCAAACTCGCAGCGATCCTCCTGCCTCAGTCTCCTGAGTGCTGGGATTACAGGCATGTGCCACCATGCCTGGCTGAAATGTTCTTTTCAATGTTGTTTACAGGGCTCCTTTATTTTACTGATTTTATTTTATTTTTTGAGACAAGGTCTTGCTACGTAGTTCAGGCTGGCCTTCAACTCATGGAGATCCTTGTGCCTCAGCCTCCCAAGTTCTGGGATTTCCTGTGTGTACCAGCGCACTCAGCTCCCAGTCCCCACTTTTCACCTAGTAAATTGTCCTTCAATTTTCACTTCTGATGGCATTAGCTCAGAGAACTTCTCCCATCTTTTTTTGTCATAGCATTAAATAAATTTGTAAGTAGTTAGTTATTTGTGATCAATAAAATGTTTTCCTATTGTGTGAAACAAAAAACTAAGGGCAGTTAGTACCTAGCATTTAGTAGCCCCTCTGTAAATCTGTGCTGAAGCACAGAATGATTCCCTCAGACTGTGATGAATCTGAATGAATCCGGATGATTCCAGGAAACTTCGTATGTATGCCTTTGTCTAATCACTACAATTGAAGCCTGTGGATTTTTTTTTTTTTTTTTTTTTTTTGAGATTGGGTCTCATTGTGTAGTTCAGGCTGGCCCTGAACTCCCCTGTGCAGCCTAGGCTGGCCTCGAACTCACAGCAATCCTCCTGCCTCAGCCTCCCACGTAGTGCAATTATAGGCGTGGGCCACCACGCCCAACAAGCTTGTGATTTTTAACATCTGACCTAGAGAATCTTGGGGCTTCCTGAGAGATTGGTGGAAATTACTTTCATAATACATGAAGATGTTATTTTCCTTTGCATTCCCTTTTTTCCAGCAGTGCTGGGGCTAGAACTCCGAAACTCACACATGTTAGGCAAGTGCTCTGTCCCTGAGCTGCATCTCTCTCACTTCCTCTTGAGTGTGCAGTGATATTTCCCGTAAACTATATGAGCAACTAATTTCAACAGATCCAGTGCAGAAAGAGATATGAGAAACCAACTATCTTCTGTTCAACCAGACCTTATAAAGAGATTTGCAGGTCCTAACCCTGAGAGAATTCTGCGAGAGAACTTTGATCCTGATGCAGCCCTGAAATCATAAAAAAATAAAAAATAAAGGTATTTGCAAAAATATAAACCAATTCCAGTCTTCTCACAACATTTTCTTCTGGAGTGGAAATTATAATTATTTAATAAAAGTGTTAATTATAATGGAGGTTTTTTTTCACTGTTGGGGATTGAACCCATTGACACTGCACTGAGCTATAACCCTTTTTTTATGCTTTATTTTGAGACAGGGCCTTGTTGAGTTGCTAAACTGTCCAGGTTGGGTTTGAATTTACAAGTCCCCTGAGTCACCTTCCCAAGTGCTGGGATTACGGATATGAGCCCTTGTGCCTGGCTATATAGGAGAATTTTAAATGACAATGATTATTTTAGAAATTTCTCATTGATAGATATAATTCTCATAAACACACAACACACACATATAAGCCAAATTATTGGAATCCTTAAATTGTAAGAGTGCAAAAAGGATTTTGAGACTAAAAAGTTTGAGATCGGTTGATATAAGTAAATCTCTCTGAGGTCCCCCACCTGGGAATTGAAATAGGGCCTTCACACTGAGCTACATCTCCAGGCCCTTTTATTTTAGTTTCAGACAGGTCTTGATAAATCCCTAAATTGCCCAGGCTGGGCTATAACTTGGATCTTCCCGCCTCAGCACCCTAGAGTGCTGGGATTACAGGCAT